TGCAAAACAGAACTTCTGCAGAGCATGAGAAGAGATACAGATTTAAAAGGAAGAGCAGCAAAGAGAAGGGAAACAACCATGGATTACAGTAAGGCGCACATTACAGTATTGTTTTATGTTAAAAAATCTGAGGGTTTAATGTCACTTTAAGTTTTAGAGCATTTGGGCGAGTATGAGTACTCGCCCAAATACTCGGTATCGGCACTGATACCGACACTAGTATTGCTGCATCCCTACTCACAATAGTTTCCTATCAACACGACACATAGAGGTGGCTGCGCATACTGTCAGCTGTCTTCGGAATGGCCAAGGAGCCCAAGACCCCATACACTCAGTATCTTTAAATATCGCCTTTAGCTTATAAACTGAGCTTGGTCCTGCAGGCCTTCATGCCTCGCTATTGGTTAAGGAGATTGTCAGCCATAGTGATGGGCCAATCAATTGGACATGTTCAAGTTTACAAGCAGAAGCCGATGTTTGCATATACTGAGTAGGCTGTATTTTGAGGTTCCTTATGCTATGAAGTCAACTAAAGGTAGGCGCAGGCACCTCTAGCTACCTGTATAAACATCTTACTAGTGTGATATTTAGTACTGGTACACTAAATAGCAGGTGTAGGAAAACTTGTGCCCTCCAGCTGTGGTGCAACTACAAATCCCATAAGGCATTGCAAGACTCTGACACCCACAGAGATGACTTCCAGAGGCAGATTCATGCAATAAAGGAAACCTATACCTTGAGAGGTTTGAAGGCCGCCATTGTTGCTCTCCTTCTGAAAATGCTGGTTGTCTGGTTTCTTTCGTAAACCTGTTACAGTGAAGTCAAAGGCTTTGGTCTGCATTCTTGTTCCAGGTCACGGACACAAAGTCAACTGACATCAATAAATGGGCTTGAAAGGCTTGCATTCAGGGGGAGATCATAATTGGCAGCAGATTTCTATCCTCACAGGTTCCCTTTCATTTTCACATTTACTGAAACACTCTACAGCAGGCATAGCTAAACTCTGGCACCCCAGCTGTGGTAAAACTACAAGTCCCATGATGCCTCAGCCTCTGGGAGCCATGCCTGTTGTTGCCAGAGCATTGCAATGCCTTATGGGATTTGTAGTTGCACCACAGCTGGAGGGCCAGAGTTTGCCCACCCCTGCTCTATAGTTTTCCTTGCTGAAACTTGCACTTCAATGGATATGTTGTGAGCACTTTTTTTGGGGGGGGGCAGGAGATTTTCCTGAATGGTTCAGTGTTCTCTATAAAGCGTGGCGGTATTTGTTGGCGCTATATGTATAAGTGAAATAAATAAATACAAACCAAGTGAGCGCGCTGTGCACGAGCCAAACAGAAGATATTTTTAGGAAGAAGCCTGCTCGGATCAAAGCAATGATCTTTTGCACACCCCGCCAGAAACGCAAAAGTCTCCTCTCTGCATTTCCATTGAACTCATTTTTAGGATCTGGTAAATGTTACACTCCGCAGCGCTCTGGAGATGAACATTTAACCGTGACAGTGTGCAGGTCTCCTACAGGAAGTGGCCTGGATCATGGAAACACTATACAATCAGCTCGGTATTATAATCCGGGAGATCATTAATCAATACGTTCCACATCCTACCTTTCTAAAACAAAGAGAACTCTATCCTTGCTGGCCAGTGGTTGTGAAAGGGTAGAGGAGGATTTGGAATGCTCAGAGAGGCTCAATGCTTACCGTATGCGCACTTCTTCCAGTGGCTGAGTCTAATGGATTTAGCAGATGAACGGATTGCTCACTATTTCCCCTTACTTTATATGTTGGAAAGATTGAAAATAAGACTTTGGCCGAGGTACGTAGAGCACTGGAAAAAAGTTCTCACATCTGCTTCTAAAAAGTACCGTGATGTAGTGTCTGGGCTGATTATTATTATTATACAGGATTTATATGGCGCCAACAGTTTGCGCAGCGCTTTACAATATAAGGAAGACATTATAATCGCAATACAATTCAAGACAAGATGGTAAGGAGAGGGTTTACAATCTAAAAGGGAGGGGCAAGTAATACATGGGGAGGTAGCTGTGTGGGGATGAATTGTTTGAGAACGTGATAGTTCAGGGGTTAGGTTGAGGTGGAATAGGCTTCCCTGAAGAGATGAGTCTTAAGGTATCGCCAAAAGGCAGTCAGTGAGGGAGATATATGCACAGGTTGGGGTAGAGAGTTCCATAGAATGGGAGAGACTCTAGTGAAGTCCTGGAGGCGAGCATGGGAGGAGTTGATGAGGGAGCTGGAAAGCAGGAGGTCTTGGGATGAGTGGAGTGGACGGTTAGGGTGATAATTTGAGACAAGGTTGTAGATATAGCCGGGGGCAGAGTTGTGGATGGCTTTATAAGTGGTTGTTAATATTTTGAATTTTATCCTTTGGGCGCGTGGAAGCCAGTGGAGAGATTGGCAGAGGGGGCTGGAGGATGGAAGCCAATGCAGGGATCGGCATAGCGGGGTTGCAGACACTGAGCGGTTGGTTAGGTGAATGAGTCTAGCAGCTGCATTCATGATTGACTGAAGGGAGGAGGAGCCTGTGTAGATGAAGGCCAATGAGGAGGGAGTTGCAATAGTCAAGACGAGATATAACAAGTGAGTAGATGAGTAATTTTGCAGTGTCATTGGTGAGGAAGGGGCGTATTTTGGAGATGTTACGAAGGTGAAGTTGATGAAACACACCCCACTATAATAACTGGAGGGAGGTACCAGCGTTGCCCATTTCACATGCTTGCTGCAGCTTTATTTCTAGAAGATGAAGGCGGCAGTTTGGTTGCTATGGGCAATACAGGAACGAATTACCTGTTTATGCTTTTTTGCATGAATACGTCTAAAGCTGGCCATACACTATTCGAATTTCATGAAGAACACGCCGAAATTCGAACAGTTTTTCGCGATTTTCTGCAAAATTGCGGTAATCGACCGCACGTATTTTCATCTGCGCATGTGCAGTGTAGATCGCACTAATTTTGACGTACGGAAACGACACCAACCTTGCGAAAATCGTACGATCGACCGATGTTTTCTAACCTGCTGGTTGTGTCAAAAGTCGATAGTTTGTACTGTATTTGCAGTTGTACACTGCCCATCAACCTTACGAATATCGGACGAAAACGCGATCACATACGAAAATCGCCCGATAATCGTAAGGTGTATGGGCAGCTTTACCGTGAGTATCAGCAGAAGTATATGCAGCACACCTGATTGGCCCCTAGTTCTGCCCTTTCTTGTCTCTGTCAGAGTGCCACTGTGCAGCAGATTACAAGGACCTGACAACAAGTCAGAGTCAGGTACTTACACCAAATGCATTACAAAAAAATATTTTAGCAAACAATACATCTCTGCATTCAATTATATTTTTATATGTGGCTTAAGTTCAGCTTTACAGGGCCAGTAACCATTTTTAGAGGGCTTAAAGGAGAACTATGAGATGAGTGATTTCCACTCACCTCATAGTTCTAGCCGACCTGTGACAATGAGACTGTCACAGGTCGGCTCATTAGATCGGGAGGTGGGGGAACACATACTGTCGTTCGCTCACCTCTCGATCCTGTCACGGCTCTCTGCCGTGACAGGGGGAGGGGCTGGATTCCCCTCTCCCCGCTCCGATCTGCCAGCGCTGACTGGCGGAACGGACGGGGGAGGGGGTGGGTACAGCTGGCTCTGCCTCTAGATAGGCAGAGCCAGCTGTCACTCACGCAGCTGGGCGGATCCCGTCATCTACGTCGGGATCCGCTCCGGCTGTGGCGTCTCAGTATACCGCGAGCTGTAGCTCGCGGTATACTGAGCTTAGGGTAACTGGAGGACGCTAGTTTGTGTCCTCCCGTTACCCTAAGGAGAACTATGGGGAAAAACACTGACCCCATAGTTCTCCTTTAATACTCATACCTATGTAGGCAAAGGTTTTACATTACATGGTTACATGGCGGGAAGTTCGCTTTGTATATAAATATATTCCACCCTATTATGCTGTCTTCACTTTGCCTTTTGCATACCTGGCACCATGGTAAGGACTAATGGCATCATGAATAAATAAGCATGTACATTTTCAGTTTGTGAATTATGAACCGAGCTCCTGCTTTGTGAAAAGGGGAAAATGAACCATTGCTAATCCGCTATATGGATTTTTTCTGACACTTTGGGAAGCCTGTTAATGCAATGAGTGTTTCTAATCTCATACTAAAAGTGTCTCATTTGCAATGTACTTAATACCTACAAATGATGCTTATTTATATTTAATTGAATATAAAGCACCCGAGTCTAATCCTTGGTGGTCCTTGGCATCTCTACCTGGATGGTCTACAGACTGAACCACTACGTTTTTATATGCAGTGCTTTTTGCTGTGTATTAAGTATATTACATTCAACCTTAAAGGAGAACTATGAGGTGAGTGAAAATCACTCTTCCTCATAGTTCGAGCCGACGTGTGACAGTGAAACTGTCACACGTCGGCTCAATAGATCGGGAAATGAGCGAACACATACCGTCGCTCGCTCACTTCTCGATCATCTCCATACAGAGAGCCGTGACTGTCAGTCACTGCACCCTGCAGGGATTCCCCCCCTCCCCGCTCCAATCCTCCAGCGCTGACTGGATGAACAGACGGACGAGGGGGTGGGCACAGCTGGCTCTGCCTCTAGATAGGCAGAGCCCGCTGTCACTCACGCAGCTGGGTGGATCTTGACAGTAATGTCGGGATCCGTCCTAGCTGCGGCGGTCTCAGTATACCGCGAGCTTTAGCTCGCGATATACTGAGCTTTGGGTCACGGAGGACGCTAGTATATGTCCTTTGGGTCACTGAATATGCTAGTATATGTCCTCCCGTGGGGAAAACACTTACCCCATAATTCTCCTTTAAACTCTAAATTGCACCAACAGGTTTGTTCATCATGTTTTTGCATAGACTACGTTACAGTGTTTTACCCATACTTTGCTCAAGATACAAGAAACAAAAAGACAGCCAGGACATCCAAATATGTAAAAACATTCCATATTTATTACGGCAGACAATTATTAGCAATCAGCACCACCTTGTCCAGCAATCGGTGCCTTGTACCCCGCCAACCCCAAATATAATTGCCAGTTTAGTTCATCAAGCAAAGTCAACGTCCCTTTCCCACAGGATCAGGGCGCATGCTGTTTTCTTGGTGTATATATATATATTTTCTTTTTGTTACAAAATGTTGTTGAAATGCGGCCCTCTCAAGTCGGGTAAGTGCAGTCCCTTCACTTTAGAAGGCTTGTAAGACTTTCTTACTTCTTTGCACAGTAATGTCTCTTCTGACCCCATGTGTGGCCCTTTGGCACAAGTCCACTTGCAGATGCAGTGCATGAGTTTCCCAATGTCGTTTGGTGTTCATCGCGATGTACCTTCCCGGTAAGAACGCAACAGCAACAGAGGTCTCTGTTTCAAGATTCACAAGCAATATTTGTTTCACATGCAGTTGCTTCAAAATACTTTGTTTATTGCTTGCATTTGGAGCCACGAGCTGTTCAGATCTTCTTTTTGTGTCCTCTGCCTGAAAGCCTAGACAGCACAGCTATCTCCTAGGCATGTCTCCCAGCAAGCCTAGACATTGTCTTAGAAATCCCCACCAGCTGCTGCTGGGAGTGTGTATGAGTTCCATGGTTTGGTCTTACTCCTCAGCTTAAAAGTAAGAATGTGGAAGTCGGCCTGTGGGTGCATCGTTGTTGTTTACTATTCTAACGGAATCCATGAGTGGCTCTTCTGTCTGCCATCCTCTGTCTGGACCATTTGAGCTGTCAGATAACTTTTTTAAGTCATTTTTTTCTTCGAGTGCCATTTTTACACCCTCCATCTCCAAAGGACCCCCATTCTCACCTGCATGTGCTTTTTCTTTACGTCTTCGTGCATAGCATACTGCACTTACTATTACTACCACCAGCAAGATCCCAGCAGCGGCAGCTGGCACTAAAACCAAGGTTAGATTTCCCTCTCGAGACTGATTGATGTGTGCACTAGATTTTGGAGATTCTGCCAAAGTGTGTGCCTCTGTGCACAGCTCACTTTCTGAACTTACATCACGCATGGTTCCAAGACAAAGCCTGTAAGTGCTGTTAGCGGACAGTTCTGTCAAGGAATAGTATGGGATTGATGGGGGTAGCTGGTAGGTAACAGACCAGTGGTCTGCGGTAGACAGGTTTTGAACAGTGAGCCTAAGTCCTAGTAGGTGTTTCTTTTTTTCAGTATAACTTTGTAGATCAATTGTAATAGAGCTACTAGTAACTTCAGTAACTTGCAGTTGTAGTAGAGGCTGCTCAGGAAAAGGTGTTAATGACAGCATCTCACAGTACATACCATAGAATCCAGCTGGGCAATCACATTCTAGTTCTCCAAGAGAGTTCATCCGACAGAAACCACCATTCAAGCAAGTTTGAGGTGGACACAGCTGGTCATATGGAGTTGGTATGTCGGGTTCTGGCACTTCTGTCTGATAAGCTGGAATTGTCGTGGTTGGAATAGAGGTTGGACTGGCTGTTGGTTTAGAAGTTGTAGGTGTAGGTGGTGGAGCTGTGGTGGTAGGTGCTAAGGTCGTCGGCACAAAGACTGTTGTGGGTATTGGACATCCAAAATCAGAACTTTGTAAATTGCGTAAGATCTTGCCAGCATTTTTCAGAGGGAAGTGGCAACGAGTTTCATCAGGACGCAGCAGAGTAACCCCACTCACCCGCAACCATTCTGTCAGCCAGCTTAATAAACATACACAGTTAAAAGGGTTTTGTGCCAGGTTTATGCCACGGAGTCGTTTATAAGATTGGAAAAGACCCTTTGGCAAAGTACGAAGATTCAACCCACTTAAATCTAAATCTTGTAATCCAGTGAGACCAGCGAAATCTTCTGGTTGAAGCTGAGAAATTGCAGCATTGCCAGCAAGGTTGAGTTTGATTAAACCACGAAGGCCGGACGGCACTTTACTAAGTTGATTTTGAGACAGGTCTAGATCATGAAGATTCTTGAGGCCACTCAATAAATCTGCTGTTACTTCTTTCAAGCCAAGACCAGCCAGTCTTAGAGTCTCAATATTGGTTGCATGGAATACTCCAGGTTGGATTATGGGGATAGCATTGTAGCTAAGATCCAGGAGCAAAAGATGTGGTAAGGAGAAAGCTGGCGCTACAACTAGTTGATTCTGTGACAGCTTAAGTTCAAGCAAGTTCTCAAGACCTCTGAAGGCATCAGGATGAATACTACGAATCTGATTTCCACTGAGATACAACCTCTCTAACCGACCTAGCCCTTGAAAGGTCTCCGCGGAGATCTCAGTAATTTGATTAGATGAAAGGTCAAGGTTGCTGAGGTTTGCCAAGCTCTTAAAAACTCCACCAGGTAGATGAGACAGCTTGTTATGAGATAGATCTAAGAGCAGCAAGTCCCACAAACCTGAAAAACTGCTTTCTTCAATGGAACTAATGCCATTCTCAAAAAGGTAAAGGCTTAAGGTGTTCTGTGGTATGTTCCGAGGAAAACCGGGGTCTTTGCGACTTAAGCAGAAGATGGTCAATGGTTGGTTGCATTGACAGCCATCTGGACAAGTTTCAACAAGGACTGTGTACATGGCACTTAGTAGAACACTCCATTTTATCAGAAGATGCATGGTGAAAATTCTGGAGAAAAAAAGAAAAGAAAAGGTGATTACTACTACAGCATTTGGCAATTAATTGCTTTTTTCAATACAGTTAAGTACCGTATTAGGTTGTCGAATGGTTTTCATTACTGGGCATGTCATCCCGTAACAGTTTTATAATCTGTGAAGAGTGTTCATTGTCATTTCCTCCCCTTGGTGCAGTTAATGTGTTTTGAAGTGGAAGCTTGGTTATGACCCCATTTTCAGGGTTTCAACCAAAGGTATATAGTCAAGGAGAAGAACATAAATTCCACTCTCCTCATCCCCCAGCCAACCTTACCATACATTGGTTGAATCAGATGCAGGGCCAGAGGAATGCTGAACATTTTCTTCTTTTGGAGCATGCAAATCAGTGCCACTGCTCCTCCATTTCACTCAATGCAAGCTAAGGTGGTTGGGAGATGAGAAGGAACGAACCACTGTGTAGTAGTTCAGGGCCTCAGAGCCCTGAAAACAGATATAACCAACTTAAAGTGTATGTAAACCTTAACAATAAACCTCTCTTATTGCCTTCTTTCGGTCTGCTAAATATATAAGTGCAAGAAATACCCGTTGAATTTGTTCCAAATCTTGTGAGCTTAAAACTTCCTGTGCTCTCTGACTGTGCAAAATTAGGAGCTATTGAAATGAGGAGGGGGGAGGGAGATGCGGAGGGGTCTGTGTTCTTTATAGTGCATTAGAAATCAAGTAGGCAGGGCTGACACCAAGTGCTTTGGAATTCAGAGCCAAAAATACACAACTGAAGCAGACACAATCTTCTTCTTCAGCTCTCATCAGTTTGTTCAGTTAAGGTTTGAAAATAAAAGAGAGAAGTTGATAGGTGGCCCTGGGCAACAACTCCAGATTCTGTCTGCTCCAGTTTTGATAAATTCCCCTCATTGTGTTGTTATGTCAGAGAGGAATTTCTGGCACATCAACAGTTATTTTTATATCCTTTGCAGAATGTTTAAAAGGGTAAAACATGGCGAAATGTGCAGAGGTGTATGAATTTGTTTCTGTTTTTTTTACATTTGTCTTGACACATGCTTTAGTTCAGGATATGTTTAAACCTCAGCAAAAAATGTAAGGATTTAGTGAAGAAGCTTGAAGCACAAAATAAGTCTTAAAATTAGACAATTGGTATTGCCTGTAGCAATCTAGAAGTCTCTAGTCACTTTTCGATACAGGTCAAGTAATTAAAGGATCTGTTTTGTGGCTTTGGGCAACCCAACCATGTTTTTTCAAAGAATAGGCCTAAACTTACCAAAATAGGGTTCAAAGCAGCCAATTCGAAGCTCATTTTTACACATTGTAAAAGAGAAGATATAAATGGTGGGTAACCCAGACAATTTGTTTTTCAGACAGTTCATATATGAGGCTAAAAGTGTTTTGGATTGTGATGTGGTTTTTTATTTGTTAACATGCTTAAATAATATCCAAGGACACCTTGCTGCTAAAGCATTTTATATTGTTGCCAACACTCCTGTCTGAGGATCATAAAGCACTAAAAATGTCAGGACAATATATTTACTAAATAGGATTAGTAATGTTTAAAAATAAATTGATGAAACATTTTAAGCACGATTCTACTTAAAAAAAAAACTATTAAAAAAATAAAAAGAAGTTGGCCAATTCTATAAAACAAAAAGTAGCTCTTGCTTCCAAACTCTCCTCCCTTCCTTTTTTATTATTTGTATTATTAATTACAATACAATTCAAGACAAGATGGTAAGGAGGGCCCTGCCCCCGAGGGCTTACAATCTTATTGATTGAATGGCAGCCAGTGTCATCTAACCCACTTCCTGTGAGCCCAGGCTGTCCTGGACACAACCCCTATGCTTACAGTACTCCTGCACAGAAGGCTGAGCTGTCCAGATGTATTGATCACCCATTGCAAAGGAGTAGAGAAAGGACCTCCATGTCACACGACTGGATGTATAACTTCATTTTAAAAAAAATGCGCAGGGGGCTTTAGGGAGGGGAGGAGCGGGGACTTAAAACCTGGAGTAATGGCTTTGAAATGATATGAAGTGATAGTAGAATAAAGAAAAAATGGAAGTATATGTGGTAACTTGGTATAGTAACCGAGATAAATCACAATCGGAGGCCTGAGAATTTAGGCTATCGTCAGTGCGCCAAATATTTGCCAGATGGAAACCTGTTTATTTCTTTAGATGCACCAAATAATAATTCAGTTTGAAGGGTTTTAAACGAAAGATACGATCCCAGAACGCAGCGTATAAATGTAGCCTTACACATTTTACCATGCGTCAAATAAACTATATGCACTGCAACATAATAGTTTATGCAGTGCATCAAAATAAGATGCCACTTGTGACAATTCGCATTCCTCAACAACCGCCAATTTGAGTTTTTCTGGCCCAGTAGCTTTTTTCTGGGTTTCCTTACACAATAGCGGATGAAATATTATCTGTACCGCTAAAGGCCTTCATCTGACATCCCCTAGCATCCAGCTAATACCTTTCTTTTTTTGTTAATACTGTGTCTTTAACGGTCTTGTGAAAAAATGCTGAGGTGGCGTGTGCGGACAGGCTTCATCTGCTCCGTGGTGAAATAGTTAACAATTTATCCTGGTATTTGAACCCCTATCATTTAGACTGGATGACCTCTCACCTCCAGCACAAGAAAGGCTTGTGCCTGTCAGGCCATGCCCTGTGTGTATAAACAGAGCCCCTACCGGTATGCAGACCCCCCTTCCCTGTCTGTCACTTCTAAAACATCATGTAGATAAAGGGGCTGTGTGCTAGTAGGCCACACAACCTTCATCAGAAACAGACACACTTCTCCCGTCCTCCTCTCTACCTTTCCCCAGCGCACTGCTCTTGTCCAATGGATCCTGATGCTGGCCCTACACTGGGAGATATTCATACGGACCTTCATCCAAAAAATCTCATCAGAACGTTCCATGAATGTCATTCTAAATTTTGTTTGGCTTTAACATTTTGATTTTGAAATGAATGGAGTTCCCCCGAACGAAAACCACATTCACTGTTAGAATTTTGTTCCTTTGAGAAAAAAAATTCCATCCTGTGGCTTCAATATTTTTCGTCACTATGATCAGAATCGTCACATTATCCGAAAACCATTTTTTTAATTACAAAATTGTAACAGTGTATATCTAGCTTACATAACACATTAACGATTAGAAAATCAAAGGCCGATTTCTTCCACTTTTGTGAAGTTTTGGCACTGAATTTTTGGGTCTTCAGCCAAAATCTGATATAAGATAATATAAGTACGGTAATGAGTACGGTAATGAAGAAAATCTGGGCATAAATGTGGCATATATTTCTTCATGGCACTTTACATGTCTTTCTATAGATCTATCTATCTATCTATCTATCTATCTATCTATCTATCTATCTATCTATCTATCTGTCCATAAGTCTGTCTATCTGCAGATCTATCTGCATGGAACCTATCTATCATTCTATCTATCATTCTATCTATCATTCTATCTATCATTCTATCTATCATTCTATCTATCATTCTATCTATCATTCTATCTATCATTCTATCTATCATTCTATCTATCATTCTATCTATCCATCTATCCATAGACTTATCCATCTGCATGGACTCTATCTATCTGTTATCAATCTATGTATCTATGATATATCTATCTAATTATCTATCTATCTATCTGCATGAAATGTATCTTTCTGTGGATTTTCATCGGGTGTTCTGTTTTTCTCACACAAGCCAAGACATTTCTGGTTAGTTAATTGTCTTCCACAGAATTATGATCCTAGGATATGTGTGGTTTAGGGAAATTCATACATTCATACATACATACATGTATGTGTGGTTTAGGGAAATGCGATTTGTAAGCACCTTGGTGGGCAGGTACAATGTGCTTCAATGTAACAGACTGCAGAATAGATAATTGACTTATGACTGGACATAATAACATTTGGAGAACTCCAGATTATTCAGTATTGGTAATTGTCTGACACAACTGTGCATGGTGCACACACTACCTCATATACTTCTCGTCTGTTATGTACATATTGCTTCTTATTTCTACAGCCCACTGTGCAAATAGAGCGTCACACTTCTATAATCCAGAGCATACAGACCGCCCCAGGTACACACACAAATATGTGTGTGATGTGTTGAGTCGGGCTTACTACAAAAGCACACGTCTGTATTCCAATGTGCACTACTTCCTGCCCTGCTGTTTGGAGCTAATTCTCACTATACAGTGTATGTATATGTATGTATATATATATATATATATATATATATATACACACACACACACACACACACACACACTTTTTACATACTGCCTCTCATAGTATACACTCTTTTGTAATAGGTAATACATACATGATCCAGCCACTATTGTCATTACAAACCATTGTAGTGCAACATTGTGTGTTTGCATCTATCGAATGTTCATGGTTCATCTATGAAGCAGAGAAGAGGGAGCGCTTAGACACTGGCTTGTTTCAAGGGGGAATACAATAACAAGCGGTGAGGAAAATTGATCCCAGCCGATCGGCTGTACCTGAGCAGTCTCAGGTTCAGGGGCTTGCTGGTAACGCTGACATGCAGTCATTTCCAAATCCGACCATAAACAGCCAGATCCAGTCTAAGCTTTTACAGTGTATCTAAACCCAGAAATAAAACAATGAAATTATGTATATTGCAGTTTATAGGCTTAGATTTGGTGGCTGCATTAGTTTTCTTATAAAGACTTTTGTCTGTTTATTTTCAGCAAGTAAGAAACTTCCTGTCCTAGGGTGTAAAAACTCACTGTACTGTATCTATGGAGGAGCAGCGTTGGCACGCTAGGAAGGGTCAACAGGATTGCTTGCCCTCTTGCCATTATAACATATGCAGAAGGTGTCCTGTAGTCCCTAGAGTTAGCTGGAAAGAGTAAAAACTGGTAAGAGTGCAGCAGAGCCACATATGCACGCTTCTATTGTGTACATACTGCCTGCCATATACACTCTTTTATAATGTGATTCACAT